GAAAAACTTAAAAGTCGTATTTGAATACATTTGTTATAACAAGAAATAAAAAGAATAAATCAAACTGGAATAAATATCCTTACGTTCTACACAGACATAATAATATTTGACATGACAGAAAATTTGAAAATGACAGATCGAGAGCAATCAGTCTTGTCTGTATCTTTAAAAAAATCTGTGTGGAACTCGACTAGATATTTGTGAATTATTTCTGGTCCAAACTATAAAACATTTGAATCTATCCAATCTAAGTGGTCTCTCGTTCGGCGTCTACGTGCGAAAATGACGGCACAAGGGTGCGTTCTTGTAAATCAAGAGGGGATTGGCAAAAGTATATGATGAAAAAACAAACAAATACCCACTTAAAATGTCAGTTTGTTATCTATGTGCCCGTTCTATGTGTAAATAAAATAGTAAATGCAGTCAATCTAACATCTGTTACATGTGGGGAGGGGCAAACTTTAGGAGGAGGGGTGCAGCCATTCTGATACTCATAGCATCTTTCTGTTTCACCTGAAACATGCTCTGATATTATGAGGCATATTCTGTGATCTGAGCACATCAGATGGGAAGAGTTATAACTGTCAATAAGTATGATAGTTATCATGTAATCATTTACCTAATGTCAATACATTACATAATGGGCATTGTATTTAACAGCAGATATTAGCACAGGCACGTGTACACAAGTTTAGAGCTGGGATGAAAGATCTCAAAAATCCTCAATTTTGGGCTCTCCTGGATCGCCAAATCAAGCTCATTATATCATGGCATCTCAGGGCTGAGAAGAAATGAGATGTCATGGATTATCATGATGGGTGCAGCGGGCCCTGCCCTCTCATGTTCACCACTGCAGTTCATGTGACGTCACTCATGAAATAATTCGGCCATATTATCAAGATGTTATCGGCGCTAGTCCAGAGATCAAATGACGGTTTCGCCATCTATAAATTACAAATAAAATTGATTTGATCATTTCTCCACCCCAATCAAAACAAACCACAATCGCCTTGGGAATAGAGAAGAACATAGCATGAGACTGTTGCCATGCGCAATGAACTACTATTCTAGTATTTACTTTGTTGAACTAATTTTTAACATGATAGAATCTCTTTTGAAAACAATGTTACCCATCATGGAGATGCGATTTACCAGGAATTCTTACGGGCAACGTCTCATATACAAATTGGAAAATAAGGCCGGTGTAATTATGGTCCCCTGGGAATTATGGTCCCCTTTCTTAACGGCCCTTACTGGCCCTGACTGTGTATAAATAATAAGGAAAATAATTTTGATTAGGTCATATAAATCAATAGAGAGTAGGACCAAAATTTGATAGGACCACCTACCCTTTTACACCGGTCCAACAAAATAAATGTTCAGAAAATCAGTAGCCAGTTTTGCATTGAAAATAGAGAAAAACTTAAAAATGACTCAGTATTCTAAGAAATTTATGGTACGTCTGATTGGATTACTTGACGACTGTGAGATTAAACTTCATAAATTCTCCGATCGAGATTACGTAGTTTGTAGTGTTTCCCCCTACAATGTTTGAACAACTGAGGCATTTGGAGTATGCATATCATATGAATGAAATTTCAAGAAAGTGGATTAACACGATTACTGTTGAAAGCATTTGCATTACTTCATATGTCAATATGGATTTATGTACTGTATTCAGCAAAACACAAAGTTCAACATTTGCAATTTTCCGAACACAGGCAAATTAAAAGTGTTTCAATTAGAGATATCGATATTTGGAATTGAGTGTTTCTTCCTTGTATTATAAAAAAGACATTATGGAATATTTGGAAAATTAAAACCAGCTAATTGAAATCAGAGTGCGTGGTTGCGAAAAAGTTTCACAAAATCATAGAACGTTTACATTAACAAATCATGATACCAATAACAAATCATGATACCAATAACAAATCATGATACCAATAACATCATGGAAGTTTAGGAACAATTACAAAACACAATGGAACAAATGCACAACATATTGGAACGATAAAACGACAAAATGGTGAAAACACAGAAAAACATGTCACAAGGTAATCTAAATATTGCCTGGTGTCCCCATATGGGAAACCCATTGGATACGTCTCACACAGTCTGTAAATGAATGTTTGCTGGATAAGCAAGAATAAATAAAAGTTCCAAAGAGAGAAGTTTCTAGCCTTTTATGGCTTTTGAATGCTGATTTCCTGGAAACATTGGCATTGAATCGAAAAACTGAATTTTACAAGTACCTATATTGAAATCCTTCACGTATTTCTGATACAATAGTGGATACAGCATGATTCTCGTTAATCATTCATTTATTTCAGTCATTCAACGTCTAACAGGTTGTTTAAAATATATAGATATCAACTCTTAATATATGCACTTGAGGAAATGTCCGTCAGAAATATTTGAAGGTTATTTTATGCCCTTCTTCTTTAAGACATTAGAATTTTTTTGCATTTAACAAACTAATATGATTCTGGAGTTTATAATTTGAATACATCTGCCCCGAATCTGATGCCAAATGAAGTCTTACCCCGAGGAGTACATCCCACAATCAGACCCACAATCTATCAACAATGATCATGGAAATGACAAGGAGTCAAAAGAAAGAGAGTAAGCTCCCAATACGGAAAATCAATGCCCCGGGGATGCAGGTGGGGAAGAAGCAACGGAGGGATAGAGCCGCTGATAAGATACTAATAAAAGCGTGAGTTTTTGTTTGTTTCTTTGTTTATTGTTTCTTTGTTTGCTTGTACGCCGTGTCAATGTAGTTCGTATCGCAATAACAGATCAGATGCCAAATATGATTTACTATGCAATACATACATGTGCCATCTTATCATTCTGATACTCATGGCATCTCTCTCTGTGTTGCATAAGGATAGAGATTGAGAGGGCGTGGCTTACCACGATGCCCTCTTATTGGTATCCAATCTTGGAGTGCCAAGAATATGAGTAAACGAGTGTCTTGGTATCCATATTTAGTACCGATCATGTGATAACAATATTTAAATAAATAAAAATTATAACCAATAGTGAATGACAAAGCCAATGAGGAAAAAAGTCAAAATATCAATTTGTTTAATTTATTATTCAGTATTGATGTTGTGTGTCGGTTAAAGTCAGGTACTATAGCCTACCAGGGGTGTGGATAGGATCCAAACATTGCGAGAAGCAATTGCGAAAAGAAGCCAAAAATATTTGTGATATCGTTACATATGTGCATGTACTCCCACAGTTGAGTCCAACTAGAAACATCTACTAAATACATTATAAGGCCTACTGCAAGAGGGGTGAGTAAATAAATTAAAACCCGAACTTTCTTCTAGGAATGCATAACCTTGGCATAGTAACCTGACTTAGCCTATCTGAGACATTTTATATTAGTCTCAGCTAAGCTTAGATGTACACCGTAGCGAAAACTAAATGACATCTTCTTTATATAAAGCATAAAAGGAGTGGTATCGATATGGAGAACTGAATTCAACAATGTCTTTCTCTTAAACCAATCATTGAAAACGCTCTGTAAAAAACAAGGTATTTTATGTCATGTTGACAACAATTTAATGCGAAAATTATTTAGAAATATTTTACATAACTGTTTTTGTTAACATTTTTTGTTTTTTAATGCAATTGTTTTTGCTCCTTTCTACCAATTCTTGAGAATGAAATAAGATGTCTTTCCGAACCTTGTTGGAACAAAATAACATATACAACATGTTTTAGACCTTTCGATATTATAGTTATACAAAGGAATTTTTGGTTGATTTTAAAAAAGTATTCAAAAAACTAAAACAAAATCCCCCAAAAATAGATAAAAATCAAGATAAACCTTTTATTTCATAAACAAGATACTTTTTTAAAATCAGCAAGATTTCTTTTGTACAATTACAATATTGAGAGACCTAGACATGTTGTGTTTATGGAGTTTTGTTCCAATGAGGTTCGGAAAGATGTTTCATTTTACTCTGGAAACATGATACCAAGAACAAAACATAGTATATATTTCAAATTATATTGTTACCATTCAAATGATGACGATTAAATTGACGATGTGTTTTTTTAAGATTTTTTATGACTGGTTTGAGACGTGAGTTCAAAAAGTTCTGATGATGAAAACAGTGACAGAAAATCAGTCAGAAATAATTTTTTAAGCAGAAGTTGAACTGGGTGAAAGTGCCTATTTTACCGTGATTCTCGATTAAAACGTGAATCGTGATGTGCTAAAAAATAAGATATTTATTTGGTTTTCATGTAGCCTACGTAGGCAACATTTGCGCAAGCGCTATTCTCCGACTAGTGTTTATTAAAATCATGGGCTTTCAACTAGAGTTGAACTCTAGTTGAAAGCCCATGATAAAATCTATGGTAAAAAGTGTAACAAATAAGGTACATGATACAATAATTTAACAGAGACATCTAGGCTACTCATAGAAATACCGTATTTCACCCGCAAAACATACAGTATTATCGTCAGCATAGTTATAGAGACTAATATTGCAATCTTTCATAGATAAAAATATATCAAACATGAATATATTCAACAGAAAGGGTCCTAAAATATTGCCTTGAGGTATTCCATGTAAGATACATTTCTATTGACTAGCTGGTAGTTTGACTAAGCTTATCGATAAATCATAAAACGTGATAAAAAACGTTAAAACGTGGCACTTGGACTCTTGGAGTGTCTGATTTTAAATCTAGGATGAAGAAATCAATGGTGTACTGCATAATATTTTACTTCACTTCACACTTCACAGGGTCTGCAGACCAGTGAGGGATAAAAAGGGGGTCGTAAAAGGTCGTTGTTGTCGTCGCCCATCTGTTTCCGATTATGTTTTTCCCGGGTGATCACCGCAACCATGGCGTACCGTTTCGTTCAGCGCAATCTCTTCTTTAGTACATCTGGCGGGATTTTACGAGAAGTTGAACTGTTGAATTTTGAAAAGATAAACATTTTAACATGATTTAGGTCTTTTGCTTAACAATAGATGTTTTCGCAATATTTGCACGACTTATCACTTGTTGGTGTTGACGATGATGACCTCGAAGTTGAATTTGAGTAAGTGAGCTGTGCTTCAATCGGGGCTTCAATGCATCATTATTTCAATTTTCATCGGAATTTGAATTTCCCCTAGCCTAGGGCCTCTAGAGGCCGTACATGTAGGCCTAGGCCATAGCTATTTACTCTAAGACTTAGATCTAGCCTAGCTGATAGTGATATGGTTAAGCTTGGGCCTACATGTTGGCCTAGGCTGGTCAGGCCCGTAGCCAGGATTTGCCAAGAGGGGGTTCAGTTTTCAAAAATTTCCGGGGGGGGTTCACATTTGACAATTTTGGCCCAAATATGGCTAAAATCACTTGAAAGGTGCTCAAAATGGTGAAAAACTGCATGATTTTGAAAGAATTTTTTGCCAGGGGGGGGGGGTTCGCCCGAACCCTGCGAACCCCCCCTGGCTACGGGCCTGCTGGTAGGCCCTTCTTAAAAGTCCATGAATATACCTGGGGGGGGGTTCACTCTAAATAATTTGGGTAGGAACGTGTGCACAGCACAGGCTATTTTGACTTATGGCATAAACCATGGAGCCTGGCCAATCTGAGAGATAAAAAACATGGAAAATATGTCGAAGAGAGAGCCTTTTTGAAGTCAAAATCAGTTTTTCTACAAAAATGGTATTAAATCGATAAAATCAGTTGGCGAGGTCTGTGACAAATCACCCAAAAAGTGGATTTTGTGGTTAACATTCCAATATTTCAGGAAATTTACTCCCTTTTATAAGTCTGAGAGGAAGTATACATGTAAACTTTCAATCTTGAGAGGAAACCTGCCCTGTCAACCCTCACGCATTAGGCGTGATTGTCACGCATTTGCTGGAAAAATAGAAATCACGCATCAATTTAGCGTGTATGATCAAATATCACGCAAATATTTTTTATATATTTTTAAAAATCGTTTTTTGTAAAATGCCGAAACGGTAAAATACCGAACGGCGAAAAATCGAACGCATTCTGTTCGGTTTTTGCACGCGATTGCCGTTTATTAAAAGTCACGCATTTGGTACAAAATATGTTTATATATCACGCATTTGTTTCGAAAATATTTACACCTATCCCATCACTTTTGGCCAATTTTGAATTGTCGACCCCTAAGATTAAACCTTTCCTTTGTTCTGGTTGTATTTACCCTACTGTATCTATTTTTGCCATGTTTCCAACTATGATTTCCAATAATTTTGCATGTTGTTTTCCCTGTTGTTTTTATTCTTTTTGCCAGGAAAAAACTTGTGGGGGGAGGTCATGAACTGTAACAATTACTGATTTGCATGACAAGAATAATTAATAGTAAGACTACAAACCATAAATATTAAACCCCAAAATCTGGGTAATTACTCTGAATAATTTATTCAGCTCAAGTTACCTGCTGTAATCAGTTTATTGAAGAGCTTGATTCCAGTGTCAGAATCTATTGTTACAGTCTCAAATCACAATGGAGTAATTAGCAACGTATTGGGAATGTAATACAGTTCCAGAGAACTGTGCTAAGTCTAGTGGTGTTTTTGATTTGAAATGGCCAGTATACTCTCACCAGAAAGGCCAAAGATTAATGGCAAATACCATATTCCTTACGCTAAAGAAGATAGCATTAAAAAAACTGGTAAACCTGTCATTAAACAACGTAAGAGCAAAACGGATGCTGAAACTCAACCTGAAAAGAAAAGCAAAGACAAAATGAAACCTGAAAATGATGATAATGTTACAAAAAATGATGTTATTCAAAATGATGATAAGCAACCAGAAAAGGTTAAAAAGAATATTGGTAACACCAATGGTAAGGATGAAATGGAATCTAAAGAAGAAATGGAAATTAGAATACCTAAAGCAGATGATAATGTCAGTCATCAAAACACCAAAGATGATACAGATCTGAAATTTGAAGTTGTCAAAGAATCAAAACAAATTGATTTAGAGGATAATATTTGTGAAGAACCAAAAGAAGTCAATCTGAATGATGTTAATAATGCCAAGATTGAGTCAGCTGTGAGTGGTCAAACATTAAATCAAACATTAAATCAATCAAATACTGACCATACAAGCAAAAAAGATGTGAATGAAAATAAGTTAGTTGAACCAGATGAAAACCAGCATGCAATAGTGGCTGCACCTCAAATGACGCATACAATAAAACCATTAAAAGGATCAAAAAGTGAATATGAACTTAAACAGGACAGAAATCAAAGTCCAGCTGAAAATGAAAGTTCAAGTAACATTGCTCCTTGGAATGAAAGTACTACAAGTAAATCAGAATCTGATAATCTTTCTATGCCAGGAACATTATTAACACCATTGAAAATAAGGAAAAGCTCAGTGAAATTGTCCTCTCTTGAAGAGGGACAGCCATTGAGTAGACTAACAACACCGATTCTTGATGATTTCACTGGTGAAAGTTTACCCACATCAAGAAATGGTTCATTTTCTGGAGAAAAATTTGGGATGGTGAAACCAGTATTTTCTCGAAAATTTTCTGGAAAATCTACTCTACAAACTTATGGTTTATTGAAGAATGGGTAAGAATTTTGTGCAAAGAAGTTATAATATTTTAAGTTAATATCTTTTTTAGGTAATGGTTTCATTTGCGATGATCTTTGATTATTTTGAAAAATGCATGCAAAAGAAACCATTTTTGTTTTTTCACAAATGTTGAGATTTGAATACATTACATTCCATTGCACAACTAATAAATCAGAATTAAATCCAATACTGTACCATAGCTACTGTAAATCAAATTCCATTGTTGTTTACTGAAACTATTACAGCTTGCCAATAACATTATTTCAAATTCTATATTTACATTACTTAACCTTCAAAATGGAATCTTGTAGAAAGTACAATGGATTGGTGGATTAAATGTTTATGTAATAACTTTAAGTATTCATGCACTATTGCTGTAACTATTAGGACAAATGTTGACATATTTGAAAGAGGCAAACATATGTAACATCTTAGCTTCCAACATTGTCCAAGATGGTTGAAAGATGTTAAAAGATGGAGCAACTAAAACAATGTGAATCAAAATGGATATATGTAAAGCTTCTACTAAACTAATTGGTTAACTAATTATCCATGCTAATTATAATTGCTTAACTAATCCTGATGCATGCACTAGTACTAGCCCTAGCCCTTTTGCAAAGTTTACACCAAGATCCTAATATAAGTTGTCAATAATCGGATTGAATTTACATCTACCTGTTCTTACGATAATACGTGTTTACTAGAATCACAAAAAAAACGTTTACGTGTATTAATTATTTTGCCATTCTTTGCTAATGAAATAAAAATTGGGCAAAGTATAAAATACTCTAAGGACAGGGGTAACGTCTACGCTTGTTAGAGATAAGAATATCAGTTTTCTCCATCCATATTGTGAGACAAAGACAGAATGTTCTATATTATAGTAATGCTAAATGAACAAGAAGGTATCACCGAGCTTCCAAGAAACACTTGCCCAAACATTCCAGATTTATTAATTTTTTTCTCTTCTCCAATAACCAAATCAAGAAATTCAATCATTGAAACCATCATGAAAAACCCTGACCTCTTTTTTTCCTATCCATGAGGTGCCATAATATTATTGGTTAAATTAAACCTTTTTGAGGAATAAGTAATTCCTCCGGGACTTTAAAGATATCCATTATGGGTGACCAAAATGAGCTGAAAGCAATGGCTCGCATGAGTTTTCTCTATTTGCATCTCCCCTGTTTCAAAACCGAAATTATTTTATCATCTTAATGAGTGCTTTTCCAGGAGACAATGCATTGGCCTAACATATGCACATATTTAAAACCTCAGGAATAATCCAACATATGACTGTCCAAAATCTGTTGCGATACTTTCCCTCATCCTTTAGTTTAAACACTCAAATGAAAACTGATTTCAAAACAGGCAAGTGCGGAAATAAATCGAGAATAAAATCGAATTTTGAGAAGAAAATTGAAGGTGTGTGCTACTAACATTACTACATTGTGTGCTAACATTACTACATTGTGTGCTATGAATTGTATTTTTCAAACCTACCCTCTGTTCCCTCTCCGATCTCGCACTTGAGTCAAATATCAGGGGTGTATCTGGGAACCATCAAGGGGGCCAAATTTCAGGTCGGAGAAAAAACTACCGCGCTTGCCTGGAAAAATTTTTGGTCTCAAACAAAAAAGTTGGCCCATTTTTTGCAATTTCACAGGAATCTAATGAAAAAAATGTTTGGACAGTTTTAAAAAGGGGGGGGGGGATGCCCATGGTCTCTGATTTGGGGGGATAATTTTGGTGCCCCTTGATATTTTTTCATGTGGATATGTACTAGATACATAGTAATTTATGTTTGGTTTCTACAAATTGAATGCCAGATTATGTTGATTATGACTTGAGAATTGAAAAGATTTTCAGGATGGAAAATATTGAATGGCTCCCTTTTATAATTTTATTTGAACTTTCTGCACTCTGCACACTGTCTGATGAACCAATTTAATTGTTATTATGTAACACCACCTACAGCTGTACAGACACCTAATCTACTTGAAGGAATAAAGTCCTACAGTTCTGCACTCTAAGCACTTTGTCTATAGGCTAATCACAATTTGGATGTTTTGGATTCTTTTTATGTCATATAGCCAAATTGTATGGGTTTATCAACATTTTTGTTTTTCATTGCACTCTATTAAATATTACAAGGTTACAATAGGGGATTCCCTGTTATTTACTTCGAATCTGCTGTTGCGGAGCCTGGATGTACTATAGAGGAATGTTGACTGTTGAAATAAGTTAAATAACATGCAAAAATTGCTATTAAAAACAAAAATATCCTAGATCTGCAGATCATAAAGTACTCGGAAATTTGTTAAAGTATGTTATTTTTGTCAGATATATGTGCCCCAAACTCACCAAATTGTAATTATAGAGACAAAGTATACTGAGAGCTTAAGACCATAATACACATCAGTTATGTATAAATAAAATGTGTCATTGTTTGTAAAGTGCGAATCCTTTACAGGGCCGTCAGATGGGGGGGTGCGATGGGTGCGACCGCACCCCCCTTTGACACCCCCAAAAAAAATTGAAAAAAAGATTTTTTTTTTGAAAAACGTTTGTTTTGAAATTTGTTTTCATTGACTCATACACTTTGAAAATGCCCAGAAAGCACCAAATAGCATCTCAAAATTATAAAATTTTCTGGGTGGCACCCCTCACACCCCCCACAAAAAATGGAAAAGTTCTGAATTTATTTTATGTACAGTATATAGTCTCAGACACTTTTGAAGTGCCCTGACATCATCAAATAGCTCCTTGATATAGTCAATGTTTCTTGGAGACTAACACTTACTCACCCTTTGGAATACCCACCCCACCTCGCTCTCTGGCACCCCCCCCCCTCTTTAACCCCCCCCCCCCCAATTGAAAAAAATGTGATTTTTTCATATTTTTTGTTGAGTCATATACTTTGAAAGTGCCTCGAAAACACCAAATAGCATATTAAAATTGTAAAATTTTCCAGGATAGTTGGCCACCCCTCACTTCCCCCACAAAACAATTGAAATAATTCTGAATTATGGGTATTGTCTCAGAGACTTTTAAAGTTCCTAGACACCATCAAGTAGCTCCTTGATATAGTCAATGTTTCTGGGGGACTAATACTTGCTCCCCCTCTGGCATCCCCACCCAACCCCCTCTGGCATCCCCACCCCACCCTCCCTCTGGCACCCCCCCCCCCTTTGACACCCTCCAAATAATGGGGAAAATTGTGAAGGGGGAGTGGGGCACTCCTCATACCCAAAACAAAACAATTGAAAAGTTCCGAATTTATTTTATATATTGTCTCATCAGACACTTTTAAAGTGCCCGGACATCATCAAATAGCTCCTTGATATAGTCAATGATTCTTGGAGACTAACACTTACTCACCCTCTGTCATCCCCATCCCACTTCGCTCTCTGGCACCCCCCCCCCTTTAAACCCCCCAAATTGAAAACTATTGTGATTTTTTGTTGAGTTATATGCTTTGAAAGTGCCTAGAAAGCACCAAATAACAATTAAAATTGTAAAATTTTCTAGGAGAGTTAGCCGCCCCTCAAAACCCCACAAAACAATTAAAATAATACTGAATTTTGTGTACTGTCTCAGAAACTTTTAAAGTTCCCAGACATCATCAAATAACTCCTTGATATAGTCAATGATTTTTACCCGCCCTCTGGCATCAACACCCAACCTCCCCCTCTGGTATCCCCCCCTTTGACAACCCTCAAAAATTGAGAAATTGAGACTCATACACTTTAAAAGTGCTCAGAAGCACCAAATATCATCTTAAAATTGTAAAATTTTCTTGGAGAGTTGGCCATCCCTCAAATCCCCCACAAAACAATTGAAAAAATTCTGAGTTTCACTTATTGTCTCAGACATTTTTAATGTGCCCAGACATCATCAAATAGCACCTTGATATTGTCAATGTTTCTGGGGGACAACCACTTGGTCCCCCTCTGGCACCCCATTTACCCTCTCATCCTCTTTGACACCCCCAAAAGAATTCCCATTTTTTTTATTGACTCATACACTTTGAAAGTGCCCAGAAAGCACCAAATAGCATCTAAAAAGTGTAAAATTTTCTACGGGGAGTGGGCCACTCCTCACACCCATACAAAACAATTGGACAGTTTGGACACTTAAACAGTCACCAAGTGACATGATAAAATCATAAAAATATCTGGCACCCCACCCCAAAACCTAAAGCATTCATTTACTCAAACACATTAAAAGTGCTCAGAATTAATCAGACAGCATCTTGAATAGGTAGAATTTTCCTGTGCTGCCCCCTCGCTCCCCTAAGAAGAAAATGATTGAAAATCTGAATTTCTTTAAATTGACTCTATTGATTAAAACACCTTAAAGTGTCCAGAAATCACTAAATGTGATTTTGAACTGGTAAAAAGTTTCGGGTAAACATTTATGCCCTTCTAGCCCACCTTCCCCCTATTCTAGTGTTTCTCCAAATAGCTCATTCAATATTTAGTCTAAAAACAATAAAATACTACAAAATAGGCTGAATGGCCCCAATATAGGGAGTAACCGACCCCCCCCCCCCCCTCTGACTTACGCGATTTGATTTACGCGGCAAAAATTGACAATTTTATATTCTCTTTAGCAAAAACCGCACCCCCCTTGGAGAAAAGTGTCTTACGGGCCTGCTTTATACAGTATATAAAATCATACATATTTGTACTTACATTAGTTTGACTTCTGCGCCCAGTGTAAACATATTTGATAAATTTGGGAAGAATGCTTTTGTCAGAAGATGCTATTACTACTGCATGTATGTGTAAATAATTCATATTTATTTTTTGATGTGGCACAAAAATATTTCATATGATGTTTTTTACTGTTTTGTTGAATTCCATTATTTTCAAAAGCACAAAATCTTCAATACAACAGATAAAAGATGGCATGCATGGTATACATTGCAAGAAGTGGATAGGCTGGTTGTAGAATAGAATATTTATTGAGTACATTCACATCCCTGAGGGTCACGTACAAGAAAGTATAATGCATAAAAAGATTATATATGATTTAACACTAGACTACCATACTACATATAATATATACCTAGTACTGTAAAATATAAAATATGAGTTATATCTGTACTACAAAATGTTTTTGCGCAGGATTCAGCCTTTCTAATGACTAGAAAAAAAGGCATCACTAATATATTTTGCAACCTTGATGCAATCTTGATTCATACAAGTTAAGAGGTATATGAATTGATTTTTGTGATTTTGCCGTATCAGATAATTTAAGAAAAATTGTAATCACACATCAATTTTTGCGTGTACGAGAAAATGTCACGCAAATCACGCATTATGTTGATGTTTAAAATCTGATTTTTATAAATCACCGATACAGTAAAACGCCAAAAAGCGAACGCATTACATTCGGACACATTCCGTTTGAAAGACGTGTTAATGTCACGCATTTCTTTGGAAAAATTTTGTACCTATAAATAAAGATAAAGACAAAGATAAAGTGAGATTGGAGTCCTGAGCAGTAATAGTACTAAATAGACCATATACAGTCTAATTCACATGTGAAAGCAAACCTGTAAAGAATTTTAGTTTGTATTTTATCTGCTTTCAGAGGTGGAAGTCTTGGTTCTGGCTTAGCTGAGCCTGATCTTGAAAGTGAAGCTGAGACAGATAACATCAATGTTGTCATTAGGTAAGTCTGTCATAGTGCATCCTCTATGAAAGTTATTTAGGCCAGAGTAACAAAAAATGATCATTTCTTTCCAAAATTTGTCGTGCTTTTTCGAGAAGGTTTGAGAAGTTCTAGACCGTGTTCAGACAACATGTTGAGACGCAGTGATACAAGAGGTACATATAAGAGAATGGGGTGTGATTCTTATTGAATAAAATTTAGAAAGTTTGATAACAAGATGAAGAACATGTTTTCCAATATACACTTCCCTGCGTAAGTTTGGCAACTGAAATACTCCATTGCATGTCATTGGAGCATTATGTTTGGGATCTCAATGATGAGGAACATGTTTTCCAATATACACTCCCCTGCGTAAGTTTGGCAACTGGAAGACTCCATTGCATGTCATTGGAGCATTATGTTTGGGATCTCAATGATGAGGAACATGTTTTCCAATATACACTCCCCTGCGTAAGTTTGGCAACTGAAAGACTCCATAGCATGTCATTAGAGCATTATGTTTGGGATCTCAATGATGAGGAACATGTTTTCCAATATACACTCCCCTGTGTAAGTTTGGCAACTGAAAGACTCCATTGCATGTCATTGGAGCATTATGTTTGGGATCTCTATGATGAGGAACATGTTTTCCAATATATACTCCCCTGCGTAAGTTTGGCAACTGAAAGACTCTATAGCATGTCATTGGAGCATTATGTTTGAGATCTCAATGATGAGGAACATGTTTTCCAATATACACTCCCCTGCGTAAGTTTGGCAACTGAAAGACTCCATTGCATGTCATTAGAGCATTATGTTTGGGATCTCAATGATGAGGAACATGTTTTCCAATATACACCCCCCTGCGTAAGTTTGGCAACTGAAAGACTCTATAGCATGTCATTGGAGCATTATGTTTGGGATATCAATGATGAGGAACATGTTTTCGAATATACACTCCCCTGCGTAAGTCTGGCAACTGGAAGACTCCATTGCATGTCATTGGAGCATTATGTTTGGGATCTCAATGATGAGGAACATGTTTTCCAATATACACTCCCCTGCGTAAGTTTGGCAACTGAAAGACTCCATAGCATGTCATTAGAGCATTATGTTTGGGATCTCAATGATGAGGAACATGTTTTTCAATATACACTCCCCTGCGTAAGTTTGGCAACTGAAAGACTCCATTGCATGTCATTAGAGCATTATGTTTGGGATATCAATGATGAGGAACATGTTTTTCAATATACACTCCCCTGCGTAAGTTTGGCAACTGAAAGACTCTATAGCAGGTCATTGGAGCATTATGTTTGGGATATCAATAATGAGGAACATGTTTTTCAATATACACTCCCCTGCGTAAGTTTGGCAACTGAAAGACTCTATAGCATGTCATTGGAGCATTATGTTTGGGATCTCAATGATGAGGAACATTTTTTCCAATATACACTCCCCTGCGTAAGTTTGGCAACTGAAAGACTCCATTGCATGTCATTGGAGCATTATGTTTGGGATCTCAATGATGAGGAACATGTTTTTCAATATACACTCCCCTGCGTAAGTCTGGCAACTGAAAGACTCCATAGCATGTCATTGGAGCATTATGTTTGGGATCTCAATGATGAGGAACATGTTTTTCAATATACACTCCCCTGCGTAAGTTTGGCAACTGAAAGACTCCATTGCATGTCATTGGAGCATTATGTTTGGGATCTCAATGATGAGGAACATGTTTTCCAATATACACTCCCCTGCGTAAGTCTGGCAACTGAAAGACTCTATAGCATGTCATTGGAGCATTATGTTTGGGATATCAATGATGAGGAACATGTTTTCCAATATACACTCCCCTGCGTAAGTCTGGCAACTGAAAGACTCCATAGCATGTCATTGGAGCATTATGTTTGGGATCTCAATGATGAGGAACATGTTTTCCAATATACACTCCCCTGCGTAAGTCTGGCAACTGAAATACTCCATAGCATGTCATTGGAGCATTATGTTTGGGATCTCAATGATGAGGAACATGTTTTCCAATATACACTCCCCTGCGTAAGTTTGGCAACTGAAAGACTCCATAGCATGTCATTAGAGCATTATGTTTGGGATCTCAATGATGAGGAACATGTTTTCCAATATACACTCCCCTGCGTAAGTTTGGCAACTGAAAGACTCTATAGCATGTCATTGGAGCATTATGTTTGGGATATCAATGATGAGGAACATGTTTTCAAATATACACTCCCCTGCGTAAGTCTGGCAACTGGAAGACTCCATTGCATGTCATTGGAGCATTATGTTTGGGATCTCAATGATGAGGAACATGTTTTCCAATATACACTCCCCTGCGTAAGTTTGGCAACTGAAAGACTCCATAGCATGTCATTAGAGCATTATGTTTGGGATCTCAATGATGAGGAACATGTTTTTCAATATACACTCCCCTGCGTAAGTTTGGCAACTGAAAGACTCCATTGCATGTCATTGGAGCATTATGTTTGGGATATCAATGATGAGGAACATGTTTTCCAATATACACTCCCCTGCGTAAGTCTGGCAACTGGAAGACTCCATAGCAAGTCATTGGAGCATTATGTTTGGGATCTCAATGATGAGGAACATGTTTTTCAATATACACTCCCCTGCGTAAGTCTGGCAACTGAAATACTCCATAGCATGTCATTGGAGCATTATGTTTGGGATCTCAATGATGAGGAACATGTTTTTCAATATACACTCCCCTGCGTAAGTTTGGCAACTGAAAGACTCTATAGCATGTCATTGGAGCATTATGTTTGGGATCTCAATGATGAGGAACATGTTTTTCAATATACACTCCCCTGCGTAAGTTTGGCAACTGAAAGACTCTATAGCATGTCATTGGAGCATTATGTTTGGGATCTCAATGATGAGGAACATGTTTTCCAATATACACTCCCCTGCGTAAGTCTGGCAACTGAAAGACTCCATAGCATGTCATTGGAGCATTATGTTTGGGATCTCAATGATGAGGAACATGTTTTCCAATATACACTCCCCTGCGTAAGTCTGGCAACTGAAAGACTCCATAGCATGTCATTGGAGCATTATGTTTGGGATATCAATGATGAGGAACATGTTTTCCAATATACACTCCCCTGCGTAAGTCTGGCAACTGAAAGACTCCATAGCATGTCATTGGAGCATTATGTTTGGGATCTCAATGATGAGGAACATGTTTTCCAATATACACTCCCCTGCGTAAGTTTGGCAACTGAAAGACTCTATAGCATATCATTAGAGCATTATGTTTGGGATATCAATGATGAAGAACATGTTTTCCAATATACACTCCCCTGCGTAAGTTTGGCAACTGAAAGACTCTATAGCATATCATTAGAGCATTATGTTTGGGATATCAATGATGAAGAACATGTTTTCCAATATACACTCCCCTGCGTAAGTTTGGCAACTGAAAGACTCTATAGCATATCATTGGAGCATTATGTTTGGGATATCAATGATGAAGAACATGTTTTCCAATATACACTCCCCTGCGTAAACTTGGCAACTGAAAGACTCTATAGCATGTCATTGGAGCATTATGTTTGGGATATCAATGATGAGGAACATGTTTTCCAATATACACTCCCCTGCGTAAGTTTGGCAACTGAAAGACTCCATAGCATGTCATTGGAGCATTATGTTTGGGATATCAATGATGAGGAACATGTTTTCCAATATACACTCCCCTGTGTAAGTTTGGCAACTGAAAGACTCTATAGCATGTCATTAGAGCATTATGTTTGGGATCTCAATGATGAGGAACATGTTTTCCAATATACACTCCCCTGCGTAAGTTTGGCAACTGAAAGACTCCATAGCATGTCATTGGAGCATTATGTTTGGGATATCAATGATGAGGAACATGTTTTCCAATATACACTCCCCTGCGTAAGTTTGGCAACTGAAAGACTCTATAGCATGTCATTGGAGCATTATGTTTGGGATATCAATGATGAGGAACATGTTTTCCAATATACACTCCCTTGCGTAAGTTTGGCAACTGAAAGACTCCATTGCATGTCATTGGAGCATTTTGTTTGGGATCTCAATGATGAGGAACATGTTTTCCAATATACACTCCCCTGCGTAAGTTTGGCAACTGAAAGACTCCATAGCATATCATTGGAGCATTATGTTTGGGATATCAATGATGAGGAACATGTTTTCAAATATACACTCCCCTGCGTAAGTCTGGCAACTGGAAGACTCCATTGCATGTCATTGGAGCATTATGTTTGGGATCTCAATGATGAGGAACATGTTTTCCAATATACACTCCCCTGCGTAAGTTTGGCAACTGAAAGACTCCATAGCATGTCATTAGAGCATTATGTTTGGGATCTCAATGATGAGGAACATGTTTTTCAATATACACTCCCCTGCGTAAGTTTGGCAACTGAAAGACTCCATTGCATGTCATTGGAGCATTATGTTTGGGATATCAATGATGAGGAACATGTTTTCCAATATACACTCCCCTGCGTAAGTCTGGCAACTGGAAGACTCCATAGCAAGTCATTGGAGCATTATGTTTGGGATCTCAATGATGAGGAACATGTTTTTCAATATACACTCCCCTGCGTAAGTCTGGCAACTGAAATACTCCATAGCATGTCATTGGAGCATTATGTTTGGGATCTCAATGATGAGGAACATGTTTTTCAATATACACTCCCCTGCGTAAGTTTGGCAACTGAAAGACTCTATAGCATGTCATTGGAGCATTATGTTTGGGATCTCAATGATGAGGAACATGTTTTTCAATATACACTCCCCTGCGTAAGTTTGGCAACTGAAAGACTCTATAGCATGTCATTGGAGCATTATGTTTGGGATCTCAATGATGAGGAACATGTTTTCCAATATACACTCCCCTGCGTAAGTCTGGCAACTGAAAGACTCCATAGCATGTCATTGGAGCATTATGTTTGGGATCTCAATGATGAGGAACATGTTTTCCAATATACACTCCC